GGATGTTACTGGGACAAGAGCATGTGGAGCTGGCGGGCCAGCAATCAGTCACGGCCACGGGCATTTTGGAAGGAGGCAAGAAGAGGCCGGCTGCGGCAGCTGCGGCTGTGGCTGCGGCCGCGAATGAACGCTGTCCTCCTCCGAGAAGGGGTTGTAGCAGAAGCGCAGCTGCAGCCGCGTTTGACCGACCTGCGAATTCGGGACCTGACCAAACCGTCTCGGCGTTGGGTGGTGTGGTGCGCAAACGAATGTTGCCATGGCACTGGTCGTTGCCACGGCCCGGCGACGTTTCAGCCAGCGGCCTAAGGAATGGATGCGTCAGTACCTCTTGGAAGGGTAGAGAGGGGCTATTGCCTCCGAGACCGGAACCCGAGATGGTGGGAAAAAGAGAGACTGCCTCATCGACAGGACATTGAGCAGTCTGGCAAAAGGTTGAGAGGCATTCCGACGAGCCTGGCAAAGAGAATTGATGTGAGTGGTGCCCATGCGACTGTGCATTATGAGGCTGATTTTGGTGGCCAGGACAGGTCGAATTGTGGAAGGAATTGGTATGGTGCAAGACGTGCGACGATGTAGGGCTATCCGGTGATAGACGGCCGGGCAGAACAACTTCTTCTAGAGAGCTAGAGAGTTCTGGATCCCCAGAGCAGCTTACCTGGAGGACATGACGTTTCTTTGTCTTGTAACGGCGGTTCTGGAACCAGATTTTTACCTGAGGTCAAATTAAGTATAAAGTTTCAGGATGAACAGCAAGTTGGGAAACCAGCCTTGCCGAAACAAAATGAGCCTAGGATACCATTGCTTTCTATGCATACTCATAATAAATACAAGTGTAGACAGATATGGCGTGGTGGATACAGAGATCTCACATCTAAGTGTAGAATTAGGATAGCTATAGAAACAAAAACTCAACCAACATATCTTCTGTTCAAGTACACTTCGAGCTTCTCAGTTATTCTCGAATAAGAACTTCGGTCACCTGAGGTGTCTAAAGGTGATCTAGGAAATTAAAAACAGATTTCCCACTATAAAATCAATAGGCATCATCTTTCAAGTGCATTTTACTTAGCTTTGCCCCCCAAATGATTTCCAACTCAGGGCAAGGTTTTAATTTCCATCTCGCCTAGGTCCAGTCAGCACTCACAAATGGATTCAAAATGGAGTCGTAAGCACTACGAGTGCCAGTTCGTCTCAGAGCAGATCTGATTTCATGGCAAGCCAGGCCTGTCATGTTGCTATTCAACAGCTACCAAATAAAAATCCAACTTTAAAGGTGAGTCGAGACAGGCCTGGCTTGACTTGCTCTGTGACTAACTCACACCCAAGGCGGAGTCGAGTGACAACATGTCTCCATGAGTCCGATGGTATCTTGACGAGATCAATAGTGCCGTTGAGCCTGTAAAATAAAACCTTTTTAGGGCAAGGCTAAGTGAAATTAATTGCCATCGTGTCACTTCTACATTTCATTGCCGTAAAATTTCGCTACCACATTGTGCGAATTAATGTTTCAAAATTCCAAAATTCCAAAATTCCAGCATCATGAATAGGTGGAATGAGTGTAGGAAATTGATCTGGGAATATTTTGGGCTATTGAACAGGCTTATTCGAATTAAGACTTAAATTTAACTCATTGTTTGAGAAGTCAGTTCAAAACCATGAAAAACTGACTGATAATTTAATCTCCCCCAGTGAAGAAGGCCTCATGATGCCATTCTATTTCATATAGCCTGCCTCCAAAAAGACTTCATCATCGAGGCTTTTGAAGCAAGTCAGCCCTTTGGGATTTCTATAGAAGAGGCCAATTTATATTTTAAATTACAGTAGTCGTATTAGCAAATAATTTGTGAGTATGTTTCAAGCTTGAGAGTTGATACCGAATGAAAGCTTGAACCTCCCTCAGTCTCTTACGCTAAATAAAATGAGTGCATGCTGTCGACTCACCTGAGTTTCAGTCAACTTCAATATCCTCGCGAGTTCTGCCCGTTCCGGAGCCGAAAGGTAGCGCTGTTGTCCGAATCTGCGCTCGAGTTCGAACACCTGGGCATGTGAAAATGCCGCTCGAGTACGCTTCCTCCTCGCTGCCGCCACCAGCGCCGTCCCCATACAATCAGCAACACTATTCTCTTGAATTTCACCATAATCGCTACGACCGCCAGCGCCCGGCGTGACGACTAGAGCCTGCCGAACGAGACTGGCTGACGAGCAGCCTGAGATGAGAGGCAACAGACTGGAAAATTCGTGAGCTCCGACTTGCCGAAGCTGTCCAATTGACCCGCCCTCCTCTCCACTTTGCTCGTTCCTCCTCGACTCCTCCAAAGTCTCGAGCTTCTCTGTAGTCCTCTTCAGAGATACACTGGCGCCGAGGCCGCATCTCCGATAGTCCCCGGCGTTCATTTCTTGGTCTCCGCTTGTTCCACATTTAGCTATTCTCTTTAAATAACCCTCGCATACCTCTAGGCCTTTCGGCCTAGACTCGATCCGAGGCTGAGGCCCAGACTCGGAGTCTGGATTCGGAGGCGCCGGTTTTTCCATCTCGCCGGCCGGACATTTGTAGAGCTGAGCAAGCCTGGCCTGAAGAAGACGGAGGGGCTCAAGGCCGCCAGAAAAAAGCAGCTCGCTAGTTAGCAAGGCGCTGAACGGTGAGGCTGGAGAGAGAAGAGCACCCGGAAGAGGGGAGGGCTGAGGCTTGTCGGGCAAATGGAAGAGATGCGGATTCCCAGCGGGAGACTCAATGGCTCCGGTTGTGTGTTGCATATAGTTCGGTGAGCTTGAGGCTGTCGGCCAAAGTTCTCCGGACCGGGCCAGAAGGAATGTCGGTTGAGGGTGCACGGGCACTTTGAGCTTGGCAGAGCTCGCCGGCGACATCAAGGTTATACTGTCTGGATGGGTCTGAAGTTGGATTGAGGTCACGACGCCACTAGCCACAATGACGCCGGGGTCGAGGCAGCTGAAGCTATGGTGACCGTTTCCACGGTTTGCGCTGGCGCTAATGGAAGTCTCGTCTGAGTGATCCGTTTGTTGGGCGAGTGGTAGTTGGTCGTCTGTCGCCGAAGGGATGTTCATCAAAGAAGTTTTGCAATAACTGGCATCTGTTGAAGGCATGCGGAAGTAGATAATCAACTGAGGGCTAGTGGTTAATGGATGATCATATTCTCATCCTTAAGGACATGATCTGGGCGTTCGTCATCGCCCTACTCATTTGATTAGTCGACTCATCCTAAGGGATGGTAGGAAAATTCACGGATCCTTTGGAAGCACCTACACAATGAGGACAGCCTGAAGTGTCCAAAAAGTCTCATGTTCGAATGAATCTGAACTAGTCTCACAAACCTCTCCTGCAATACTCTTTCCAGGCCTGAAAATGACAACTTGTATTTGTACATATATAAGGAAAAATTGGATTTCGAAGAATCTGTTAGTTAGTCATTGTGATTCGAATTTCAATTTTATAGGAAGAGTCGGTAAGATGAAATTTGTGCTTTATTCCAATTAGAAACGAAAGGAGTTGTTAAAGTGTGAAGAAGTCCTCTGCTCGGCGTCTTGCAACTCCGATGAATCCGGACCAAGTTTGATCTTTCATGTGCTTTGAGAAATGGTACAATAATGTACTAGACCAAGAGAAAATAATATTGAGTTTGAAGTACCTTTCATTTTGTTTGAAGAGGTGAGTGGAAGGGAATCGTAAGTTGGTCTCCTCGGAAGCGCCAAGGACATATTCGCACAAATCTACAATCACAGCTCCAAGGCAATCTCCGGTGAGACCAACTTACAAATCCCTTCCACTCACCTCTTCAAACGAAATGAAAGGTACACCAACATAAATCTATTAAGGAAGTCTTCGAAATCCAGTTTTTCTACATATCTAGAAAATACTATTGTTGCGCTATCCCGTAATCTATGGTTTCTTGCTTTAGTGATGTCTATCCCGTGACATGAAAGCTTATCACGGGCCAAATGGAGTCTCAGGACGGTCAGCCAAATACCTATTAGCACAATCCAGCAGTCTTAATTGCAAGGCCCAATTTGGTTTTGGAAAAGACCAATTCACGAATTCCTTCCAACTAACCTTTCTTCTTTGCACAGCCGTATCAAGCCTGGATCGAAACCCACTTTAAATGAGCCTTCATCTAGTAATGCCAGAGCGTGGGACAACTCCTAGCTGACATTAAGGGGGGGAAATACTAACTACAATATGATGTGATTAGAAAAAGTAAAGATTAATTTGGTTGGTATGGCTTCATGTTTTTTATTTCTATACTTACGTAAATAAAATTGGTGTATGTGTGTTTGTACTTATATAAAAAAAAATCTATACATACATATACTTCGATAGGCCTCAGCAAAGATACCATCGAAAATTCTAGAATTTACTTATTTAAGGATACAATGCTGGAAGAATACAGAATAACATTGGCA